ACGCTTCTTGGAAGAAGATTTCCTAAAAAGGAAATTTTCAAAAAATCAGCGGTGAACGGGTGAGAGTTTTTTTTTTAATAATTTTTATTATTTCTATTTTATAATGTAACTAAAATCAATTATTTTTTTTAAAAAATTTTTTAGAAAATTTTAATAATCTATTTTAAAAACTTTATTAAGTAAACTTGTTTTTTATATTTTTAAATATATTAATATAGATTTTTATCTTATTTTATTAATTAATTATTAAATATTATAAAAAACAAAAATATATATGTAGTGTAATTATTTTTGTACCTTACTGTATATTATCAAATACTTTTTAGTAATAAATATTATAAAAAGTTTCATACAAACAGTATAATTTTTAAAAGATAACAACTATGCTATTAAATATTTATTATTTTATTCTATTAAAATAAGATATTTATTATTTTTCTTTTAGTAATACAATAAAAATAATAGTATTTTTCTTTCTGTTTTTTATATAAGAAAAAGCAGATAATTTTATTAAGAACTTATAACAAAAATTCTTTATAAAACTTCCATTAGATCTTAAATAAATTAAAGAGAATTTTATGCAATCTGATAAATCCATAAACTTGATATAGTCAAAATTAAACTTTGTATTTTCAAAAAAAACTCTTTTTCACTCTCCCTTCTATGCTTGAAAAATTTTTTTTTAGGAAATTTTTGAATTGTTTACTTTTTTTTGCTTTCTGCTTTTCTTTTCTTTTTACTTTTTCTCTCTCATATATCTTTATTTCTCTTTTCCTATTCTCTCATTTCTTTTCTATATGCTTTTTTATATACTCAACACTTTCATTTTTTCTTTTTCCTGTCTTTATTAAAGTTGGATTTTTTTTTTCTGAAGGTTTTTTTTTTAGATCTTTCTTTTTTTTTATAAACTTTATTCTCTATAACATTACTCTTCTGGCAAGTTGACTTTCTGTTCTCAAGACAATATTCAAAAGTAATAACTTCTCTTAAGACATGGGCTTCAGAATTTTTCTCGTTTCCATGGTCTTATAGAAAAATAATAAATAGTTTATCCCAAAAAATCAACATGGTTATCATTACCAAATTCAGTATTGTTTACTTGTTAATAGTTAAACTAAATATATCTAAGAAATCAATATATAACTATTATTATTTGAAAGTACTTAAGAAGTTGTGCTCTACTGTATCTAGAGAAATATAATAGTCAATATCAATATAGTTAACAATAAGTTAAGTTAGTTTGCCAGTATTATATTAGTGATTAAAGAATTTAGTAAAATAATATATGAAGATCAGGGGTTCTAGTTACCCTTACAACACAAACTAATAATAACAATAAAAGTTTTTCACTTACCTCTTGACAATATAGGCTTATTGTACAAGGTTAGATATTAATATCTTTAAGAAATATCAATTCTATTACTTGATATCCTCCTTAACAAACTATTACTTTATGTTCAAATTTTCTTTATATTCTCTAGTTCTAGTTTATCCTAAAACCAAAACATATCCTCCAAAGTCAATCTGATAGTAAGATTAGTTATCATCTTCCAGCCTATAGTCCTAAAGATATATTTCAAAATAAGAGATCTATATTAGGTAAAAATAACGAAAGATTAATATTGCCAAAGAGTTACTTTAGTATTAAAGATAATTGTTACCCTTCAGCCTTTAGTCTTAACAATAGGTTCAAATAAAGAAACAATGCTAGGTGCAAATAATAAAAGATTTGTTTTAGTTAGATATATTTGGAGTTAGTATATCTAGGAACTAACTCTTGTTCCCTTTGTCATATATAAAGTTATATTTGGAAAACAAGTGTGTCAATTCTAGTTATGACTTTGAGGTCAATCTATATATAGTGACTGCAGTACCTTTATGTAATTAGATAATCTAATTCTTTAAGTAGCCAGACACTATTCAAGGTATAATATAGGTTTTAAATTTTCTTTTTCTATATTTTTGAGTGATGCTAAGGAGCTCAGGCAGATGAGCCACAATTGTAAGTCGTGCATTAAACTTTTTTTAGCAAAAAAAGATGTATATTATACTATAAGTTGTAAATATTATATGTGCAAATCTAAAATTATAATAAAAATTGTGTGTAGGGACTGTTTGTTTTTTTTAAAAAAAACTTTGTATTTTCAAAAATTAATTAAACAGAAATTCTTTAATTTTCAAGAACAAATACTTTGATAAAATTTTTAGAAAATAAATTATCTCTCTTTTATTTACAGTATTTTACTAGATCTTACTAAAGTTAATAAATTTTTTACAAACTTAAATATAAAGTTAATAATTTCTATTTTAATAACAATATTAAAATTCTTAGCAAATACTTTTACTTCAATTAGTTTTTTTTTGACTTTATTATTGATTTGAAGCTATTTGAACTAGTAATAACTCTTCTCTTTTAATATATAATTATATAGTTTAACATATGTTACTTTTTAAATTTAGTTAATATGTCTTCTTTTATTATTAATACTTTTTTAATTAATTATTCAATACAATCTCTCTTACAATTACTTATTTAATAAATTCTTTTTTTTATTTTTATTTCACTATCCTATCTCTTGCTTTATTATAATTTTAACCCTCAATACAAAAGATTTTAATAATAGAATAAAACTTTTGAACTAACAAAATTATTATCTAATGAAAAAGATATTTTCTGCTATTTTAAAATCAAAATTATCAAATTCAATTTATTACTATTTATTTTTAACAATATTACAATTATAGCTAGTACACCAAACTTATTAGCTAGCAATGGATTTGCTATTTTTCAAACCAAAAATATCATTAACTATATCTTTGAGATTTTTGTGACAAACAAATTCTAATATGCTATATATTCTAAGTTCAAATCCAAAACTGATATTATAATTATATCTTGTTGCCTTTCTTATAACTCTGAATTAAGAAAAATAGCAACCAAGTTTCTTAAAAAAGTTATTATTCTTATAAAAATTTTTTTCATCAGACATGTTTTTTATTGAATTAAAAGGTTTAATACAAGCCAAGTTTGGTTTATGTTATCTATAAAATTTGTGTAACATTAGTTTTATTGGATGAACTGTTTGTTCACACTCCAAGCTCGAGCCACTCATTTGTGAAACGTCCCCATCCCTACTTATGAGTCATATTATGTCAATTTTGAAAGACAAAGCTAAGACTTTCGGCTATCGTAAAATTATCAGTGAATCTATTGCATATCGTTCACCAACTAAGAAATCATCGGCAAATATTGTAGTGGAAGAAAATGAAAAAAGAAGCCCAGATAACGATTAACATTTTGTAGTAATGAATCGGGTGTTAAGGTTAATACTGTTAACTCTTTTGTTAGTCTATACTTACAAACATTTTTTTTTCTATTCTTTGGATAGTGTTAATATAGATCGTTTAGAACAGAGAAAACCTTATGGGTAAGAGATAGTATTAAAATAATGAATCTAATTCTTCTCGATTTATATTACAATCAATAAAGTAAGAACGCGTTGGTGCAATTTTTACACGTCGAATCCATTTCATTTTGTATAAAAGGTATTTGATTTCGTTGAACGATCACACGGTGGCATTCTCATTTGCCACGAAACGCTATTTGTACATCTCACTTAATTTTCTTTTAATTAAAACATAAAAGATCGCATAAAGTAACGTTGTTTAAAGAAAAACAACACTTAATATACTGTATATATACGTATTATTGTATTTTATTTATAATATTTTTAAAAAATTTCTATTAATAGAAATAGGCGAGTTAGTGTGACAAATAGTGTAACGACTAATATTATATATTAATGCATAATATTTCTCATTGTTTAAAGTCTGTTTGATAATGATTAAACGCAGACAACAGAAAGTTCCATATTTCTTACGGTACCTAATAAAATGTATGGTCGCGAGAAATTTGAAGCTTTTGATATTTGCGTCCCTTTTAATATGGATCACAATTACCCTTCTTGTGACCTTTACACCATCTTCGGATGAAAAAACCACCGAAACGAATTCCGATCTTTTAAAAGTTTTTACAAATTCTACAGAAGTAAAGGTAGGCTTTTATTTATTTTGTTATTGAAAATTTATAATGCATATCACTAAAATTATGATTTCAGGTCACAAAAATAGAAACGGTTTCATCATCATCAGTCAGTAAAGAAATTGATAGCACGTATTCTGACATACTGGATGCGCAAATAAATAAGAAATATTGCGAGATCGAATCAAAAAATGGATGCCGATTTCTGTTCGCCTACTGTTTGCCGGAACAAGAGACCTCTAGCAATAGGCACTTCATCACATATACACGAATAGCTCGAAAATTAAATCGCACAATGGTGTTGACCAACGTCGGTCAGTCTAGGATTCGGTCGGATCGTATGCTTCCTTTTAGCTTTTATTATGATATCGATGCCCTTCGAAAAAATTTTCCAGATGTAAAATTCATCACACAAGAAGATTTTAGGAAATGGACTAAGGAGAGGCATAATAAACCAGGTGTTGTCCATGCGAGAATTGAAAGATTGGAACCAAAGAATACTGCCGACCTTGTTAAGCCTGACCTTAAAGTACTTAAGGACATGCGTAAATTTGATTTCAAGTTCAACAATTCCACCTCATTTTTACAACTTAACGTCGGAGACTATGGTTCTTGGGCATCAGGAAAAGGCAACAAAAAGATGTTGAGATTTCTAATTAATACGCTAAATTCAAAAAAAACAGAGGAGGTGATGCTAATAGTTCACGATCGAAAGACTCTTTTTAAAATAAAAGACCCAATCCCTTATGCAAAGCATTTGGTTAATGCAGCGGAGAAAATCATAAATGGACTAGGTGAATATATTGCAATTCATTGGCGGATGGAGGGGGGCGAAGTTGCACTGATGCCAAAATGTACAGAGCAATTGGTGACTTACCTCAAGGACTTAACTTCGAAAACTGGTATCAATAATATTTATTTTGCTACCGATTATCCATTATCGCAGAGACCACAATCCGACACATTTCATAAATTAAGTAATAAACATCATCAGGCGGTGAAGATGCTAAATTCATCGTTTTATTTAAATACATGGGTATCGACTCATTCGTTAGATTATTTAAAAGAATATACCGCTTTGTCAGGGCCATTGGAAGATGAATTAATAGGGGGTGGGCTACAGGGGATTTTAGATAAGCTGGTATTGATAAAAGGAAGTTACTTTATCAGTGGTCCAAAAGGATGCTGTAGGACCGTTAGCAAATATACCCGGAGAGTTGCGGATGAGAGAAAAAAATTAATTGGTAAAGGCGTGAAGAGAATTAAAAATATTGTCGATCGGTGGAAAATTTAACATAGATTATACTGTAAGAAAGATGTATAGTAGCTTAAAAATAGAAGTTGTAATTTTAGTATAACTTATACAGTATCGATTCTAAATTTTCGGCAACATAACGGAATTTATTTTTTTTAAAAATATTAATGCAAAGAAAAATTTTTTTCAATTATTTCGTTTAATTATTATTTTATGAGTTTTTAAAATTTAAATTGTATGGACAAAAAAGATCGGATATGTAGTTTTTTTAAAAAAAATTTTTTTAGTAATTCTTTTTTAAATTAAATAAAATAAAAATAATATAATTATAATGATAATGATACTGATATTGATATTGATAATAAATAAGTGAAAATCAACATACTTTATATAATATTCGAAAAAATTTTTAATTTAAGAGTATTACGTGTAAAAATAATCTTATAAAATCCATTTGTAAAATCAACTTATAAAAATTATTTTAAAAAATTATTATAAAAATTTATTTAAAAGAGTATTAAAAAATTTATTTAAAAAAGTCAATGTTATTTTATTTTAATGAAGAACCTAAAAATCATTACAAAGAATTGTTAATAATTTAAAGAAACACATTTGTACAATTATATCTATTATTATTAAATATACATTATGTTTAATATCGCATATTTAAATTTTTTGATCATAAAAAGAAAAATTTAAATTTAAAAATTTTTTATTGAATTTTATATTTGTAATTTAACACATTTTATTTTAGTTTAATCAATAAAAATAAAATAATATATTTATACATATACCCTTGAAATTGAATTCAATATGCATACTTAGGCAAGATATTTCTGCCACCATTCGCGTCTCGATCCATCTCCACCTCACTTTTTACGAATTCACAATTACCACATGTCTTTGACTTATACTCTTTAGTGTATTCAATGACTTTGCAACCTTTGAACTCCCTCGACTTATGATATAAGAACATCCGAAACGACCAAGTTAGCATTGCGATGAGCAGCCTTTGACCGAATCTTTGATTGTTCTTCAAAACCATCCATAGCATCTTTTTTTTCTCAATCGGGATTTCTTTCTTGTTTGTTATTTCTCCGTAATCTGTCACATTTCTTAGATAATTGAAGTATTTTATTAAGTAAACATTATCATACTTCATAAACGTGCGAACACCTGGATCGAGAGTGATTATCATTCCCCGAACATCATACAGTATTGGTTATCGATCATATCCGAAGAAACGGAAGCACAAAAGTAAAAATGTTCCAGGTAATTAATAGTTATGTTAACTATATTTTTGATATCTGGTGATTGTTTTGAGGTGATAATATTTTTTAGGAACGCGTATTTCCTTCTGTTCCTATTCCAACCCTTAGCAAGAATTGAGATGGTTTGTTCGATCCTTCTTTGATTGATATTTTATTTAAAAATTATTACCTTGCAGCCATCGATTATTAAATTGCGTACGAACGTACTTTCCTAGGAGTCTCTTTTACTCAGACTCAGAGGTTGTGGAGCATTCATCGTTCAGATAATGCTTTCATATTTCTTTCGTGTTTTTGATCTCTTTTTGTCAATTTCCGTTTCTAGCTAATATGAACCTATTGTGTCTTGCCGTGAAGATAATAACGATTAATGATAGGTTCTCTACAAGCTCACTAAATTCGGTGTCATCAACATTACGTCCAAACTGAGTACCAAGATCTTTAATCTTTATACTGTTCTTGTCAAGAATCGTACGCAAATTAACCACAACCTTCTCGATATCTCTTTGTTATAATTGTTCCATAATGGATATAAAATACTTGATGAGTTCGTGATCTGGTTATTTCAGCCTGAGGTACTCGCGTTGCCTATTTCTCTGAGCTAATCCTTGCGTAATAAATCTTTTTTTTTTGCTATTATCCTTTCTTAATAAGAACTTCTTGTGCTTCACGATACTTTATTATTGACACATCTTGTTCAAACATACGATTATTTATACTTTATAAAGAATATTAAATGATGATGATTTAAACATTCTTTGCCATCAATAGTCAGATAATCCAAAATAATTACCATTATTAAAAATAACAATCAGTAAACTTAATAGTAAAATAATAGATTTAATTATTAATATTGTATTTTTTACACACAGTATGTCATTCTGTTTTATATATCTTAAAGAGCTTAGATTTATGATAAAGTAAAAAAGAACTCAAATTAATAAAAAATTCAATATCACTTATTTCTTTATGATGAGAAATAGAAGACGTTTCAAAACGTCTTTCAAAGATCACAAGAGGGACACATGATAAGGCACCTCCACTATTTCACCACAATAGCAGGCAGACATGTAGTAGAAGTAATTGTATAATCTATGCTAGACGCGTAAATGTCAATTGTAACGCGTTACCGCGTGTTTCAACGAAAAAAATTAATTGTTGCTTCAGAAAAAGAAATCCTCAGCAATTGATATAGTTAATGTCTTAAGAATGACGCTAATTATATCAATATGAACTCTGGACCATATTGGCAATTCTTACGGGCGAAAAACGTGAACTTATTTCAACTTCGAAAATCTTAACAAGGAACCTAATTAACGTCACGCGAAGAGTCGACCCAGGATAGCGACAGACTCGCCGGTAACGACAATCTCTCTTCGAGCCGTATAACTCGAAAAAAAAATATGTGTTGAGACAAAGAGAAAAGGGAGAAAACATTTGAATAGTAATATATACAGTAATTAATTGCATTAAGTCTATCAATTAGAAGTGAGATATCTAAGTAAAAATAATACAAATTAATGTGGGAAGCCTTTGACTTTTTTGGGTTTGATAAAAATTTTTCTCGAAATCTAAAAATTATATGAAAAATACAGCGCAAGTTGCATTCCCATTTAAATTCACCACCGATCAACAACATTTTTAATCCTCGTTACGCCTTTCTTAACCAATTCTTTTCTCTCATCCACAACTCTTCGTGTGTATTTACTCAGAATCCTACAACAACCTTTTGGTCCACTAACAAAATAGGTCGCATTTATTAATATTAGTTTATCCACAATTCCTTGTAGTCCACCTCCTTTTAGTTCGTCTTTTAACGGTCTCTCTAAAGCAGTATATTCCTTTAAATAATCTAATGAGTGTGTTGATATCCAAGTATCTAATTGAAACGACGAATTTAGTATTTTCATCGCCTGATGATGTTCATTACTTAATTTATGAAATGTGTCGGATTGTGGTTTCCGCGATAATGGATAATCGGTAGCGAGATAAATATTTTTGATACCAGTTCTCGAAGTTAAACGGTTGAGGTAATCCACCAGTCGTTTCGCACACTCAGGCATCATCTCGACTTCAGCCCTTTCCATTCGCCAATGAATTGCAATATATTGATCTAATTTTCTTACAATCCTTTCCGCGGCTTCAGTCAAATGTTTTGCATAAGGGATAGAGTCGTCTGTTTTTATTAGATAATTTTTGTCATGAACTACTAGAATCACTTCAGCTTCTAAGCTTAGTGTATTCTCGAGAAAGTTTATCATACTCCTGTGACCTTCTTCTTTTATCCATGAATTTTTGTTACCAATGTTAATCTGCAGAAACGAGGAGGAATTATTAAACGTAAAATCAAATCTACGCATCTCTTTAAGTACTTTAGGTTTGGTTTTAACATATTTGAAGGTATTCTTTGGCTTCTTGTTTTCGATGTTTGCATGGATAGCATTAGGTTTGCTGTGTCGTTCCTTGGTCCATTTCTTAAATTCCTCTTGCGTAATGAAATTCACATCCGGAAATTTTTTCTGAAAGGCTTGAACATTATAATAAAAATCAAAGGGAAGCTGACGAGCCGACCAAATTCTAGACTGACCGACATTTGTTAAGACTATTGTGCGATTTAGTTGTCGGGCTATTTGGGTGAATGCAAGAAAGTGTCTATTACTGGATGTTTCCTGCTCTGGCATGTGATATGCGAAAAGAAATCGACACCCATTTTTTGTCTCGACGCCACAGTACTTCTTATTGACTTGTACATCTAATTCGTCGTGAGTATAATTATCAGCGGACTGTATATTGATCAAGGTATTGTCGTTTTGAGTCTTGAGAAAGATGATGACATTTAACAATACAACAAACACGAATACATAAAATGTTATAATCCTTATGTTTTTTGAGAAAGGCGAAATCATTATGTTTCGTTTTAATTGTAATTTGATCAAGGACCTTTATCTTATATAAGGAAGGAGATAGTTAAACACGATTAAGCACGATTAAGCCCTAGTAAGTTCCTGCATCGTGTAACCACTCGACTAATTAAATTCAAAATGCGGCGTAACCCGGCTAGCAATACTGTTATGGCCATTCAATTAACAAAAAGTTATGTATGTATGACGTATAAATATATGCAAGATAGAGAGGTTGTGTTATCGGGAGTCGCGTACGAAAATTGTGACCTTATACGATATACTCATCCACTTATCCTTTTCAAGTAAAACCATCACGGCAATTATAAAACATTATTTTTAGATTGCTATACGACGACACCGCGATCTCTCACCTAAACTTGAAAATTATCACATTCAAATCTAAAAAAATCTTTATATATGATTTTAGAATGATTCTTTAATAATATTATTTGATAAGAACAATTAATATAGACACTGAATATACAGTAGAATAATAAAAAAAATTTTTTAATGATAAAAATATCATGCGAAAACGATTTGTGCAGCACCTTGCGGAATAAATCGATCATTTAAAAATAATTTAATCCACTGTATATGTAAGCTTAAGATAATAAGATTATTTAAAAAAAAAAATTTTTTTTTACTGGACAATATGCATTGTGATTAATATAAAAATTAACTCAAAAAATTTGTAATAAAAAAATTTTTTTTTAAATCGCAAACAATTTTTTTTCGTGGCTTAAAAATAATTAAAAATAATCCTAACTTTTGATTTTTAAAATTTCAAATAATATAAAAATATTGACTTTGAAAACTTTAATTGGTTATAATTTGATAAAAATTTATTAATATTGTTACAAGAAAAAAATTAATTTATAATCATTTTATTATATCTTAATTTTATTATAAAACTTTTAAACAAATTTTTTTATCATAATTATATTTTTAAAAATAATATAAAATAAAACAATATAATTACAAACAAGCATGATTTTAAAATATTTTGCATATTTAATTAAAATTTATATATAAAGAAAATATAATATATTATCACTTTTGATTTTTTTTTCATATAAAATTTTTTTAAATTTTTAATAATTCTTTTTATAACAAATTATTTATTTTTTAACTAATAAAAAAAACAATAATTACAAATTGTTTTTATTTTAAAAAAATTTTTTTATAATTGAATATAAAAAATTTATTTTAAAGATTTATATTTTTATAAAAAAAAAATTAATAAAAATATTTTTTAATTTATATATATATTATTATTATTTTAAAAAATTTGTCTATTTTAATTTGATTTTAAATTTTAATAATATTAAATTTTTTAAAAAAATAAATAAATAACACCAAAAATCAATTAATTATATTAAATATAAAAAAACAAAAAAAAATAAATATTTATATATTGTAATTATATAAAATCAAAATAAATTATATAATATTTTATAAAGAATTCTTGTTTAAATTAACAATATATTTATTTAAGAAATATAAATTTCTTTTTAGAATTTTTTTTATATTTTAAAGAGTTTAACTTATAAAAAATAATTTAATATTATTTTAATTAATAAATTAAAATTTTTGTAAATAACAAGTTGTAATTAATAGTTATATATTAAAATAATTGAATATTAAAAAAATTATTAAACGTAAAAATTTGATTGCAATATTAATTATATAAGAACTTGTTTTGTTAAGGATTTAAATTATTAATTAATATATATATAATATTAATATAAGAAATATATAAGTAATAAAAAAAACTATATAAAATATAAGATAGGTTTAAAATATGATATGAAAATTATATATTAAATAATATATTTATATAAAATATAAAAAATCTTTAATAGAAGATAAAAAAAAAAACTCTCACCCGTTCACCACTGATTTCTTGAAAATTTCCTTATATGGTAATTTTCTTGAAAGAAGCGC